AGTAAGTCTAAGTGGAAAATATGAGCATTTCACAAGCAAACAGTTAACAGTTGACAGTTTTTTAACAGAAAACTGTTAAACAGAGCATCTACTGCGTGAGAATGAGAGATAAATGATCTACTTTCACTTTCGCTCTTGGATAGGGAAACCTTTACGCACAGACATCAATTAGCCTACAAATTTCTAAATTCAGTTCTAATTTCTAGCAAACGAATAAATGAACAATAATGATCAAGAGTGGTCAAAATACTGAGTTATTTCCAAATACACCTGCCATGCCCCATATGGTCTTAAACCTGACAGGTGGGCAAATCTAAGCTTGTTTTTAATAAAACAAATATAAATATGGATATAATAAATAATACTGCTAATAATAATAACATTATACAAAAGCAAATTGTTATGAATGAACTGAAAAAGCCGAGATGAAGAAGACATAAAAGCAGTGATTTTTCATATTTATGTAGGCTAGAAAATAATATGTTTTGTAATATTTTAATCCTTTATATTTATATCCTATATCTATTCTTATTAAATCCTATATATATATCCTTAATATTTACATTTTTTCATATGTAAAGATATTTGCCTATTGCTCTCTTGAGCGTATTAAGCAGTGTGTAAGCGAGGCACAACTCTGCGCTGGAGTGTAGACCGGGTTAGTTTTGGTCAAATGAAAAATCTATTACAGTTTCTCAAAATAGCAACGCGCCAGCGGTCCGCCTCAGAACGCCTTCCTGTTTAGACCAGAACGCCTATGGGCGCACAAATGAGCGCTAATGCATTTGCTATTTAAACAGCGTAGCGCAACGCCTCAAAACGACTCTTGCGCCAAGCTGAAACTACCAAAAGACTACTGCGCCGCGCCTTGCGCCACACTGCGCCGGGTGTATGATAGGGCCCTATGTGTCTGAGGCCCAGTTTACATGTTTTAGTTTTAAAACGCTTAAGTTTTGCTACGGTTACACCTTCCATCCACACTATCCTGGAGTTATCCAGCCCCGAAGATAGAGCATTTTGAAAACGCTGAAGAGACCTTTTTGGTTTTAAAATGCTGATGCCACGTGTTAGTGAGGATGGGGGAAAACGGAGACATCTCAAAAAGGAGGTGTGGCTGCAGAGATTATGTCTGATTGTAGCTTTTCTTCAATATTAAGAATACAAAGTTCAGTCTTGCATTCTTTTCTTGTAAGCTCAAACTTCAGATATGGAAAACAAACTACCGAGGACCGGGGTCTGTTCTTCATAGCTGGCTTAAATGATCTACACTGCAAAAAATGCTTTTTTAATTAAGTTTTTTTTTGTCTTGTTTCTAGTCCAAATATTTACAAATTCTTAAATCAGAAGCATTTTCTAGACAAGCAAAACATAGTCTTGTTTTAAGAAGTAATATGCCAAAATTAAGTGAGTTTTTCCCTCAAATCAAGCTAAATAATCTGTCAATGGGGCAAGCAAAATAATCTTGTTTTTCAATTTGTGATTAGATTATTTTGCTCTCATTATTTTGCGTCAGTGAGGTCCCTTTTTATTTTCACTATTCACTCATAATGGATCTTTGGGTCACTCGGTAAGTAGTGAAATGATAAATTTGTGTCACTTTCTCATCGCTGCTAAGATATACAGCCAGGTACACAGCGTTCCTGTATGAATCAGACTTTTGGGTTTCTTTTGAAATGTTAGCAGCGTGAAATCAGTCTATAGCCCTAATCGATATAATGCAGAATATGGGCATGTTTCTTAGTTATAATGATGGGATATAAAGTTCATAAGATTAATACTCACTCAAGGTCAGAGTTCACTGCCCCATCAGATAGATTAGGAGGGTGAATGATGGAATCATTACTCTTTACAGACACACAGCTGGGTTCTGCTTTAAGAATAGCATCCTCGTCCTCTCTCTGTTTATACACACTCATTTTACAGAAAGTGCTAAATCACGCACACAGACACACACATGCACATTAAATTACAACAAACAGTTCATTTTCTTGTCTAAGATCTTATATCATTTTTTAATTTATGCATACTTTTAAACACAATACTTGAGAATAAATGCGGAAATGTTTGTGAAACCTACCTCAATCCATATAATGAAGGTAATCAAAGTCTTTCAGCTCAGAAATCCACCAGGTCTCTATATAGCAGCATTAAACTGAGCTGTTCTCAAAATTCATTCAAGTTTTTCCACTAAAAGCGTTTCTCTCTTTATGTTATGTTTTTTCCTCACGCAAAATGGAGTCTTGTTGACAAACTGGTCTGGCCAGGTTATACTGTTACCTGTAAAAAGAGTAAAACAATGTTGGCTGAGTGTACAACAAATGCAAAGGTGGAACAGTTTCCTTCAACAGTTTCCAAATGCAAACTCAATGTAGCCGCAAGTGACCCGAATATTTTGCATGCTTGTTTACAGTCTTATGTCACGCGATTGACCAGATTTCGTTAAGTTCTTAAATTTCCTTATGCTTTTTACGGGCATGTCGGTGCATTTAGACATGCCTTTTTTGTAACTGAGCCAGTTACAGCTATTTATTTATTTATAATTATTGATATAGACAATACAGAGATTCATACAACACTGGTTTTGCTGTGAATGAGCAAAAAAACGGGGACTAGATTGCAAAATGTTTAATGAACAGTTTGAGCAACAGGTATGGTTCTGTAGTCAAAGTGTTCAGTATAAACAGGCCTACCATTTGATATTAAATTTGTGTACATGCACTTTTTGTATAATACACAATCGATTACACACTCTAGAAAATAAAGTAAATTGCCTTTTTTTCAAAATTCTTAAAGACCTCTACGATCATACAGTAAGCCGAACATGCTAACGAGTTCTCAAGAGTTGATCTTTATTCTACCTTGAATAAACACACAGCTTGAATAATATAAACACAATGAACTCACTGGCCACTTTATTAGGTACAGCTTACTAGTACCAGGTTGGCCCTCCTTTTGCCTTCAGAACTGCCTTAATCCTTCGTGGCATAGATTCAGCATCATGCAGTTGCTGCAGATTTGTTGGCTGCACATCAAAATCCCCCATTCCACCACATCCCAAAGGTGCTCTATTGAATTGAGCTTTGGTGACTGTGAAGGCCATTTGAGTAAAGTGAACTCATTGTCATGTTCAAGAAACCAGTCTGAGATGATTCACGCTTTATGACATGGTGCTTTATCCTGCTGGAAGTAGCCATCAGAAGATGGGTACACTGTGGTCATAAAGGGATGGACATGGTCAGCAACAATACTCAGGTAGGCTGTGGCATTGACACGATGCTCAGTTGGTACTAATGGGCCCAAAGTGTGCCAAGAAAATATCCCCTACACCATTACACCGCCATCACCAGCAGTCTGAACCGTGGATGCAAGGCAGGATGGATCCATGCTTTCATGCTGTTGATGCCAAATTCTGACCCTACCATCTGAATGTCGCAGCAGAAATCGAGACTCATCAGACCAGGCAACGTTTCTCCAATTTTCTATTGTCCAATTCTGGTGAGCCTGTGCCAATTGTAGCCTCAGTTTCCTGTTCTTAGCTGACAGGAGTGGCACCCGGTGTAGTCTTCTGCTGCAGTAGCCCATCTGCCTTAAGGTTAAGGTTGCATTCAGAGATGCTCTTCTGCAGGCCTTGGTTATAACGAGTTTGAACTCTTGACCACGTCTACATGCCTAAATGCATTGAGCTGCTACACTGTGATTGGCTGATTAGAAATTTGCATTAAAATGTAGTTGGAAGACGTACCTAATAAAGTGGCCAGTAAGTGTATGAATATATAAATTGCAAAATTTGCTTTATTTTAATTTTGATAATGTTTGAAATATGTCTTTGATAACGTTTTGTAACTAACAGTGTTAAGACACTGAGTAATTTATTTATTTATTAATTTCTAATTTTTTAAACAAGAAAATATTCAAAGATAATTGGGCCTGACTCAGCATGAATGCTGTTTTTTAGCAGGTTCCTGGACATTCTTCATTTTAGAGATGTTTGAAGGTTAAGTATTGTATTTGTTCAGTAAACAAGCTTATGAACATTTATTAAAAAGTGAAATCATTAGAATTAGATTGTTGAATGCCAATAAGCTGTTAATTATGTTTATGAATTAAATAATGAAATGTAAAAGGTTTGGAGGTAGATCTTATACAAAGTATGCAGAGGTGCAATTTTAAATATTATTTAAAAATTATTTTGTGAAGTAAATTAAATAAATTTAAACAATAAATTTTTTCTGAATTGTTTTTTTTTTATTATTCAATAATAAATAAAGAACCCTTAAAAGGTTCTAAATAGAACCATTTAACTTGAATTCATGGTTCAAAAGAACCATTTGGGGTTCTATTTAATGAACCCTTAAAATGGATCTATTTAGAACCTTTTTTGGGTATCCATATATGAAGCGCTTGATAGAACCATTTTTTGGTTCTACATAGAACCATTTCTTTTAAGAGTGTATTATCTCAGTGGCTACAGCAATAGTTGACCATCAGATGACGAGCATGGGATTTTTAAAAAAGTCTCAGTGTTGGTATTGTTTTTAGATGTTGTGGGATCTCCTTCCAGGCTTTTGCGAAAACATAAAAGAAGGATCTCTTTACATGAATGACAAATGAATAAAAAAAATGAAGAAAATTTTATTTATCTGTCTTTTATTTCAAATTTAATTTGTTAATATTTATTTCACAGCTGTAATGATTTATGATTTATAAGAAACAGAATAAAAAAAATCTGAAGAAATATGTCAGCACCTAAAAATGTCTATATTGTGGTTCATTATGAACAAAGCAATGTGTACATATACACTGACTGTACAATATGTGTGAGAATGACAAGAAGAAATGTTATTCATTCATTTTCCTTCGGCTTAGTCAGTGATTTATCAGAGGTTGCCACAGTGGAATGAACCACCAACTATTTTAGCATATGTTTCACGCAGCAGATGTCCTTCCAGTCACAACCAGATACTGGGAAACACTCTTATATTCACTCACACACACACACACACACACACACACACACACACACACACACACACACACACACACACACACATATACGCCCAAAGTAGTTAATCCATTACACCTATAGTACATGTCTCTAGACTGTGGGGGAAATCAGAGGACCCAGCGGACGCTAACAAGGGGAGAACATGCAAACTTCACACATAAATGACAACTGGCACAGCCAGGACTTAAACCAGTAACCTTCTTGCTGTCACCGTGCCACCCAGAAGAAATATCAGATGTCACAAAAAAAACAAACAAACACTGATTTACCAGAAGAACAAACTCTAAACCCAGCAAAGAGTGGTTTGGTGAAAATGGTGCTGAATGTGTGTCAGACACCATAGATAGTTCAGTTCTTTCTCACAGGAAGCTATTTAATTCCACATAGAGACACTGAACCATCAGAAAAAAACCCAATTCCAGCATAGAGTGTTTCAGTGAATTTGGTTTTGAATGTGTGTAAGTGTGTGAGTCTGCGTGTGTCAGATACGCTGTAGAAGGACAGAGTGCCGGCAGAGCGGTCCAGATACACTCCTGCTCTGTTAGAGCAGTGAGGGACATGTATTTCTATGCTTATATCACCATGTCCAACAGTGAAACTGCCATTACAATAGATCAGACTCCAGGACTTTTCATTGAATCCAAACAAACTATCATCGCTCCATTCTTTCCTGCTTATACCATTATATACCACTGATATAGAAATGTTCCCACTCCATTCAGCCTCCCAGTAACAGCGTCCAGTCAGACTCTCTCTGGACAGAACCTGAAGACACTCATCAAATCTCTTTGGATGAACAGGATATGGCTGCTTCTTCTTCACACATGTCACTGTTCGGTTTCCCTCAGACAGAGCGAGTTTATTGTGTGCTGTGTTTACATCCAGTGTGAGATCACAGATATCTGAACACAAGAAAAGAGATAATGAGGTGTACAGCTTATCACAACACAACAATTATAGTGGGTTTTGTGTGTGTGAGATAGAGACCTACATTTCTGTGGTCCTGTTTTGATCCTGATGTTTCCTCCATGATCCACACTACAACAAAATATGTGACACCCTGTAAAGTTTACATAATAAGGAAGATGACACTAAATGAGGTATGTGCCGCTCTGCGATGCACCGCACCACACAACACCATGAAATTTAAGAATTCTAAACCTAGATCTATAATAGGACACGCGCACTGGCACCACAAGTCGGCTGCTGTCCGCAGTGCCCAGCTACAACTCAGCACACCGTTCATTTTTTGATCCACCACAGAGCGCCATCTGAATAGTTTCATATTAAATAACATTCGAATGTGCGCGTCTGGTGTACAATTCTTCCACTGTCTCAGTGCTGTGACACGTGAGCAGCGCATCCAGTGTGCGACCAGCTTCAGACAGATATTCATTCATTCATTTTCTTGTCGGCTTACGCCTGTTTCACACCGCAAGCGTCAGCGGCGCGTGAGCAGAGCGTGAGCAGCGCGTATGTCGAGCAGTAGCAGCACGCAGGCGTTTGCCTTTCACACCAGCTGCGTCTGCAGCGCGCAGTTCTTCGGCAGCTGCTGCAGAGATCAACCTATCTCTGTCTATTCTATCTAGTTACCCATGTCTCTCTATATACAAATACACCTTTTAAACTTTTCATCTGTCCAGCGGCAGAATAACAGCTCGTTAATTCATGCTCGTGCAGATGATGAGACGGACAAAAGTTACCAATGCATGCCATTATTTTACTTATTTTCGTGTTGTCAGATTCACAGTGCAAACAGCTCCCGGTAGGAATAACTCGAGTGAACATAAAACAAAGCCGATTTAAACTTTCTTCCTCTGCTCAGCTGCACAGCACACAGCGAGCTCACATCATCCAGTATGCGTGTCGAACTACACTACCCACAATACACTTCGCTATGGATTACAAATCCCGTAAATATTCTATTTCCCCTCTCCTACAACACTAGTGTGCAACTTAAGCAAAACTGATACTAAAATTGTTTTACATTTGGTTTTGTAGTTCGGGCCTAAATAAATGTTGCCGTTTTTAATCGTTTTAAGTTCATTTGAATGACTATATATAAACCATTTGACGTTATCAACGTATTTATTGGGTAAAATTGCTACTTTTTACTGTCATTCATTGTGTTTTGGTCATTATCAATGCACTGTCACTTTAATTGAGCGTGAGCAGCGCGTCAAAAATAGACCCAGCGCCAAAACTATCGCTGCACTGCTGCTTCGGCGACGCTCATGCCTTGCTCTGACGCGCTGCTGCTGCGTGCGGTATGAAAGCTCTAATCTGTTAACATGGACGCCGAAAACACACGCGCTGCTCACGCTCTGCTCACGCGCCGCTGACGCTTGCGGTGTGAAACAGGCGTTAGTCCTTTTATTAATCTGGGGTCGCCACAGCGGAATGAACCGCCAACTTATCCAGCACGTTTTTACGCAGCGGATGCCCTTCCAGCCGCAACCTGTCTCTGGGAAATATCCACACACACACTCATTCACACACACTCATACACTTTCAATTCAATTCAGCTTTATTTGTATAGCACTTTTACAATGTAGATTGTGTCAAAGCAGCTTCACATAAATGGTCATAGTAACTGGAACAGTGTGGTTCAGTAACTGGAACAGTGTGGTTCAGGTTTTAGTGTTTAAGTTCAGTTCAGTTTAGCTCAGTTCAGTGTGATTTAATCATTCCTGAGAGTTCAAACACTGAAGAGCAAATTCATCAATGCGTAGCTCTACCAATCCTGAACCATGCGAGGCAGTGGCGACAGCGGAGAGGGAAAAAAAACTTCACCTGATAGGAGTGAAGAAAAAAAACCTTGAGAGAACCAGACTCAGTTGGGATACACTACGGATAATTTAGCCTACCCAATTCACCTGTACCACATGTCTTTGGACTGTGGGGAAAAGCGGAGCACCCGGAGGAAACCCACTTGAATAAAAAGAGAACATGCAAACTCCACACAGAAACGCCAACTGAGCCGAGGCTCGACCCAGCGACCTTCTTCCTGTGAGGCGACAGCACTACCAACTGCGCCACTGCATCGCCTTCAGACAGACAAAATTAAATATCTTAAAGAGCCCCTTTTATACATTATAAATGGTCCTATTTTGGGCTGGGGGGTCTCCAACAACAGGCTGATATGCATGCAAGGTCAAAAAACACTTTCATTGTCTAATAATATGCATTAATTTTTACCTAATTATCCCAGCGACTCCCATATGAATCGTTCAGCGATTAGTGCGAAGCTAATCTGCACTGATTGGACCAATGACCGCCTGTTGCGATTGGTCGACAGCGTTCAGCACGAGACAGAGTGAAATGCCCAGCACGACATATCAACAATACTAAAGTAGTCAGAGCGCATAGTGTATGTGTGAGCATACTTGCCAACACTTCTGTTTTTCCCGGGAGTCTCCCGCATTTCAGACCCATCTCCCGCCACCCTCCCATTTTGTTATTTCTCCCAGAAAACTCCTGTAATTTCAATTGAATAGATTCCTCCCGTAAATTCATTTGAAGCACTCTGAGTGGACTCTTTTATAGATGAATCAATAGTTTTAAACACGCCGCACTTTCAGATTTAAGCCTTAGCTGGATATTTCCCTTCACTCAGAGTTGTGTTACACACTACATGGAAGGTCTTTTTCAAATACCCATAATAGGGGCTCTTTAAAAAATACACACAAGTAGTTCTTGAAATAACTACTCAAGTAAAAGTAATAATCTTAATAGTTACTTGATATATTTTACATATCTGAGAGTGGCATCTTAACTTGCAAATATCTCCAAGTCTGTAAGGCTTCTTCCGGTTTCACATGTTCTTGTTAGGATTAAAGAGGTGGTCCAGAGTGTATTTTTAAGGCTTGGTTGTGTTTATAAGACGCAAAGCAATGTGTACTCATGCTTCACTTGTAGAAAATCATGTTATTTTTCATATATCTTGATTATATACAGCTAATCTGCTTACGTGAAAACATTTCCTAGTTCCTCTGAAAGGCTTAAGAGAGTCTGATTGGTCAGCTGACAAAATGTGCTGTGATTCACAGATCGGCTCCACGTCACTAGTACAGCGTCATGCCTTCACAAGCATGTGCTTTGCTTCTCCTGTGTAAACACTGGTTCTCGATATGCTTTCTTTAGCGATCTTGTGTTCTCGTGTAACGTCATCATCAACTGCCAAAGTTCAGTCCCAATACTCAAGACCACAAGAACGGAGGACGCGTGAAAATTCCCGGATATGTTCTTAATATCGAGGATGCATGGATGCAGACTTGAGTACCGAACTCGCTCTGGAAATCCCAGAAGTCATTGCGATTAGAGGTGGAAAGCGCAGCATTTTATATAGGTTTATTATTAAAGTTTATAGATATAACTTATCTACCTCCGGAGTTTCCCCTAAATGAAACGGTGAATATAAACATCACCATGAAAATCTTGATAAGGGCATGAACACATTAAGGGTGTTTATTTGCTGAAATTCATATAAAAATTAGTTTTATTTCTATTGTGCAATGTATATTTGTAAAATTGTTATGCATAGTATATATTTTGAAAAAGGGAAAAACCAAAAATTGTTGTATGAATGCTGTAATGTTTAAATAATTTTCCATTAAAAACGCGTGAAGGCCATGTGACCATCAGGAAGAATGCAGCATCTCATTTCTCAGAGGATTCATTCTCTGTTCTCGCAATCTCCCGAGTTCGTTCTTCTAAGGTGACCTGGCAAAAGAACGCACGTCCGTTCTCTGCATTCTTGAAATTGAGAAACAGCAACTGTGAGTGAGAGTAGCTGTTAGCACTATCAGTTTGAGCCTGAATCAAACAGAAAATGAAAAGGATGAACCTCATGCCTGCTCTCTTGAACAAAATCTGACAAGTGTCTGTAACTAATGAAGGAAGGGTTTTTTTATGTGTGTGTGTGTATAAACAGTCTGTAGATGCATGCAACACAAGCAGTGCATGTGCGCAAGACCGATGTTTACATTTATTTTTCTCTAATGCTCGAATTAAAAAAAAAAAGTTATTTTTCTGTAACATACAGTGACACTGTTGACAGGATAATAAAGCAAGAGATGTGGGATGCGACCTGTGTGAGCTTTGACTGATTTTTCTGCTGCAACACGAGTTAGGCGAGCTCTCCTGTATTTTTTTTTTACCTAACTCAACGCATTAAATGTTTTTCACATATATCTGTGATAAGCATGTGTAAGTAATATGAAACACTCATATGTCTCTTGCAATTTTATTATTTGAGATGTTGAACACAGGAAAAGCTGCCTATAGAGAGACACTGCAGCGCTGCTGAAGATTGTGGGTGTTTACAGCAGTGCGTGTTCAGCAGTGGTTGTTCACAGTTTGACGGATAGATTTGAATTTGTAGCTAGATTGTTAACGGTGCCAAACAGCATTTCCTGTTGTTAACATCCTTGCTACAACATACTAAATAATGTGCATTTCATAGATCAATTTTAACAAATAAAAATACTTACAGGTTGTGGCTCACAATCCACAGCTTTTACTATTATGGTTGGAGCTGCTCCTTTGAGGAATTTTAGCTGAATCCAGCACTGAACTGGGAGAGATTCTTAAAGTTTTTCTTTGTTAAATGCTAGCTATATATGTTTTTATAATTCTCTAGAACATAATTTAAATTAAACTGTAAGCACTCCTCTCTTTGTGTCGTGTCCTTTGGAAGCCCAAATACAGAATTTGCTCTCTGGAAATAGCAACGTTTGGACGGCATTTCAGCTTTCTCTAATGTAATATTACAGCGCCTCTGGCCACGCCCCTGCGCTACTCAGGTTGTGTGCACGTAGTAAATGTGCGTAACCTAAAGCATTTGTGATCTCATCAGCCCGGATGTATTTTTTGTAGTCCCCAAACTTTGTTCGCAGTAGGCTTTGCTAAGCTAATCTGTAAAAGCCAATGTCTCCCTTTGCATTGAGCGTATTACATTCAGTGTTGTTGTTTATGTTCACACAGCTACATTACACATCAACTAAAGTTTAAAATATGATATCGTAGTGGACCACCCCTTTAATTCAATTAAACAAATATGATGTTACACAAAAAATAAACTCTTTACTCATAATGTACTGATCATGTCACAAGATCTTTAAACTATAGTAATTTTCTAATTACTTTAATGTGCACACGTTGACAGCATGACAGCATTGTTGTTAGTGTTGAACATACTTGAGTGTGTCTAGTCTGTAGTTTGAATCAGAGAGCAGCTCCACTAACGATTGTCCTGGGTTATTGTAGCTCAGATACAGCTCTCTTAGATGTGAGGGGTTTAATCTCAGAGCGGAAGTCAGAAAACAACAGCCTTCCTCCGTCACCATACAGCCAGATAATCTACAAACACACACAACACTCAATGTCATATCAACTCAGATTGAAGATAATCCTCAAATTAATAATATATAGGGGGTGTTTCTGTAACTCTGCTTGGTAACACTTTATTTTGATGGTTCATTTGAGTATTAGTAGACTGTTTGCTTAATATCTGTTAATACTGCTCTTTCAACAGACATTTAGCTGACAATAAGAATCTTTGCAAGTACATGTCAACTTACACTAACCCTAACCCCAACCTAACAGTCTACTTATTATCTAATGAGAATTAGTTGCAATGTAACTTTAATTCAACAAACAGACCATCAAAATAAAGTGTGACGCTCTGCTTTACATCAAATCACTCATTTATTCAGTGTAGCACAGGAAAAGTGAATCTGTTTTCCTCACCTCAGTATCTCCAGTTGACAATGTGAACTCTTCAGTCCATCAGAGAGCAGCTTCACTCCTGAATCCTGCAGGTCATTGTTACTCAGGTCCAGCTCTCTCAGTGAGTTTGATGATTGTAGAAATGAAGACAAACTTTCACAGCACTGACCACTGAGCTGACAGCTTGCCAATCTTTTCATATATAAAAATATTTTAAATATAAAGAAATAATACTGTTCACACATAAAAATAAAGGTATAAAATAGGTTTAAGAAAGAAACATGATTGTTACCTTAAAGGGGTGGTCAACAGTGTATTTTTAAGGCTTGGTTCTGTTTATAAGATGCAAAGCAATGTGTGCTCATGCTTCACTTGTAAAAAACATGCTATTTTTTATATATCTTACTTTGATTATATACAGCCACTCAGCTAACATGAAAATGACTCTCATATGTCCCAGTTCCTCTGAAAGGCCTGCCCTCAAGAGGCTCTGATTGGTCAGCTAACATAATGTGCTGTGATTCGCAGAGTCGCTTCACGTCACCAGGAAAAGCATCATACCCCTATAAGCACATGCTTTTGCTCTGTGTAAACAATTGTCAGTTAGAGTAGCTTTTAGCTGTATCAGTTTGATTGATGTATCGTATTTCAGTCTGAATTAGACAGAACATAAAAAGGACACAGCTGAACCTCACACCTGATCTCTGAAATAAAATCTGACTAGTGTTTTCACATATATTCAGAATAAGCATGTGCAAGGAATATGAAACATTATCACACATATAACTCATATCTTTTGCAAGTTTGTTATTCGAGAAGTAGAACGCAAGGAAAGTGTCCACATAGAGAGACACTGCAGGACTGGTGAAGATTGTTTGACTGATAAATATAAATTTGTAGCTAAATTGTTAACGTGCCAAACAGCATTTCCCATCGTTTACACCCTTGTTTAAGTCCTCTATACAACATACCGCTAACGCTAGACACTGTGCATGTAATAAATCAATTTTAACAAATAAAAATACTCACAGGTTGTGGCTCACAATCCACAGCTTCTGCTATTATGGTTGGAGCTGCTCCTTTGCGGAGTTTTTAGCCAAATCCAGCAGTGAACTGGGAGAGATTCTGAAAACTTTCCTTTGACAAAAGTTAGCTACAGTTGAAGTCAGAATTATTAGCCCCCCTTTGAATTTTTGTTGCTTTTTTTAATATTTCATGTATTATATTTAACAGATTCAGGAAATTTTCACTGTATGTCTGATAATGTTTTCTCTTCTGAAGAAAGTCTTATTTGTTTTATTTCGGCTCGAATAAAAGTAGTTATTAATTTTTTAAACACCATTTTAAGGACAAAATTATTAGCCCCTTTAAGCTAACTTTTTTCTCGATAGTCTACAGAACAAACAATCGTTATACAATAACTTGCCTAATTACCCTAACCTGCCTAGTTACCCTAATTAACCAAGTTAAGCCTTTAAAAGTCACTTTAAGCTGTATAGAAGTGCCTTAAAAATATCTAGTAAAACATTATTTACTGTCTTTAGGGCAAAGAGAAAACAAATCAGTTATTAGAGATTAATTATTAAAACTATTATGATTAGAAATGTGTTGAAGAAATCTGCTCTCTGTTGAACAGAAATTGGGGGAAAAAATAAACAGGGGTTCTAATAATTCAGGGGGGCTAATAATTCTGACTTCAACTGTATATATTTTTTTATATTTCTCTGGAACATAGTTCAAATTAAACTGTAAGCACTTCTGTCTTTGTGTCGTGTCCTTTGGAAGCCCAAATACTGAAACATTACAGCACCTCTGGCCACGCCCCTTTGCTGCGCGGGGTGTATGCGGGTGGTAAATGTGCATAACCTAAAGCATTTGTGATCTCACCAGCTGGATGTATTTTTTGTAGTCCCCAAACTTTGTTCGCTGTAGGCTTTGCTAAGCTAACTCTGTCAAAGCCAATGTCTCCTTTTGCATTGAACTTTGAGCGTATGACATTCAGGGATGCTGTTTATGTTCACACAGCTACATTACACATCATCAAGTTTAAAATATGATATCGTAGTGGACCACCCCTTTAAAGAGTTAAATACCAGTATAGATCTGTGCATTTAGTCTAAATGCCACATTGTTATTTAATGTTGATTAAACAATCGAATAGGAATCAATGCTTATTTAATTCTTACTGTGATTCTATGAATTGGTTTATTCTTAAAAACCTGATAACTTGATTCAACATACAGTAGGCTACTGCTTTCATTTGGCCTTTTTTTCATCTGCATCCTCTTTTACTTGCAATTGTTATTGTTTGTAATTAACTTTTTATTGAATTAATGACTGTTTCAAGTTTTTTTTTTCTCTCAGTTACAGTGGCCCCTTCACAATCTTTAGCTTGGGGCTCCTAAGTCTAGGGCCATCTTTACAAGTTCTAACCGACTGAGTCTTAAGCATATTACATTAAGCAAAATCTGCAAACCTCAGTATCTCCAGTTGACAGCGTGAGCTCTTCAGTCCATCAGAGAGCAGCTTCACCCCTGTATCCTGCAGGTCATTGTTAATCAGGTCCAGCTCCCTTATTGAGTTTGGTGATTGTAATGATGAAGACAGGCTTTCACAGCACTGACCAGTGAGATTACAACTCATCAATCTAAATAAAAAAAGAGATGAAATATTCTTATTGTTCATTTCAAAATGCACAATTTCTGAGTTGTCTATTTTTACCAAAAGTAGCAGCCTCAAAATGAAGAAGTCTGTGTGGAACTTGACATTAAAATGTCAATTAAGTTCTTTTTCTGCAATGTATTACATTTTACTCAAAATCCCAAACCTCAGTATCTCCAGTTGACAGTGTGAACTCTTCAGTCCATCACAGAGAAGCTTCACTCCTGAATCCTGCAGGTCATTGTTACTTAGGTCCAGCTCTCTCAGTGAGTTTGAAGATTGTAGAGATGAAGACAAAGTTTCACAACACTGATCAGTGAGATTACAATCAGCAAGTCTGTAACACAAGATAAAATATCATGCAATGTAAAGATAATTAACAAGCATTTAAATAGCTGCATGGGAAGATGCCCTTGTTACAAAAAAATAACAGAATGAATCAAGCACATCTCATATCTGTTTCACAAGATTTATTTTTAAAAGTCTGAATATATACAAGACAATGAAATTGAAACACCTGGTTTTAGACCACAATAATTAGTATGTTTTAGGGCAGTGAAACAAGTGAATAATAATGTGAATAATGACAAAATGTTCAGTTTTGGGTGAACTCTCCCTTTGGGCCCTATCATACACCCGGTGCAGTGTGGCGCAAGGCGTGGCGCAGTAGTCTTTTGGTAGTTTCAGCTTGGCGCAAGAGTCGTTTTGAGGCATTGCGCTACGCTGTTTAAATAGCAAATGCATTAGCGCTCATTTGTGCGCCCATAGGTGTTTTGGTCTAAAAAGGAAGGCGTTCTGAGGCGGACCGCCGGCGCATTGTTATTTTGAGAAACTATAATAGATTTTTCATTAGACCAAAACTAACCCGGTCTAAACTCCAGCGCAGAGTTGCGCCTCGCTTACACACTGCTTAATACGCTCAAGAGAGCAACAGGCAAATATCTTTACATATGAAAAAATTTAAATATTAAGGATATATATAGGATATAATAAGAATAGATATAGGATATAAATACAAAGGATTAAAATATTACAAAACAAAAAATTGATGTCTGTGCGCAAAGGTTTACCTATCCAAGAGCAAATGTGAAAGTAGTTCCATTATCTCTCATTCTCACGCAGTAGATGCTCTCTTTAACAGTTTTCTGTTAAAAAAACTGTTAACTGTTTGCTTGTGAAATGCTCATTTTTTCCACTTAGACTTACTTTGCGTCCTGTAAATAGCGAATGCGCTCTTGGCGTGACGCAACTGGGTCTTAAAGGAAATGGGAGATGAGACTCTAATTGGTTTATTCTATAACTCATTATATAACTCATATATAACTCATTCTATAAACACACCTATAACTCATTAAGAAAATAAACTCAACCCTTTTAGACCATGCGCCTTGGCGCAAGGCAGATTTCCCGTCCTTAAATTAGCAAAAACGCGCCCTGACACGCCCTGAAAGCGTTTGCGCCCTGCGTTTTGCGCTCTGCGCATGGACCGTCAAAATAGAGCCCTTTAAGTTATGTCTTGATTTGTTGTGTTCACTTTGGGTTTTTTCAATTAATTGCTATGGGTTCGATTTAACTTATTCTTAGAGAATTTATTACTACTTTATATACAGTGCATCCGGATGAGATGCACAAAGTTTAAGAACTGTAATGCTAAACACCTAAACACCAGTGGCAGACAGTTTAAACTTGGGTAACAAAAGCAAGTTGTCATGAATTAGATCTAAGATTGTGGGCAAGATGTATTAACTCTGCAAGGTATACAAGTGCTAAAAAATGACAAGTCTTAAAAAAAGATACCCTTACTGAATACTCACAGAGCTTTTCTGCAGTTCACCACAGCTGGTATCAGTCTCCTTCTGCCCTCATCTGATGTTTTGTATTTCTTCAGATCAAACTCATCATTCAGCGCCTCCTCTGATATCTGAAGCATGTAGATGATAGTTGAGCAGTGAGATGGAGAGAGATTCTTCACTGAGGGAGTCTGTGATTTCACAAACTTCTGAATCTCTCTGTACAGAGTCTGATCCTTCATTTCCAGCAGACAGAGGAACAGATTGATGCATCTGCCAGCTGAGAGATGTTCATCACCTTTGATTTTATTTTTAATGTATCCTGTGATTCTCTTGATGGTTTCTAAGCTCTTCTCTGTGCATGTCAATAAATCCTGTAAGAGTCTCTGATTGGAGTTCAGTGAGATACCCAGCAGAAACCTCAGGAAAAGATCCAGATGTCCATTTCCACTCTGTAAGGATTCATCAACTGCTGATTTTACACGCTTATACAAAGGGTTGCAATGACTGTACAACTGATGTCGAGAGTGCAAAAAAAAGTTTTTCTCATTCTCAACTAATTGCGAGTTAAACACACAAAAAGCAGAGAGGAACTCCTGAAAGCTCAGATGAAGGAAGCTGTAGACTTTCCTCTGATGAATCACAGATTCCTCCTTTAGTATCTCAGTGCAAATCCCAGAATACACTGAGGCGCCAGTGACATCTATGCCGCTCTCAATCAGGTCCTCTTCATAGAACATCACATTGCCCTTCATCAGCTGATTGAAAGCCAGTTCAGCGAGTTTCACAATCATGTCTCTGCTGGACTTCAGAAGTCTCTCTGGATCTCTCTCTTCATACTTCTGGTTCCTCATGTTGATCTGAGTCAGCAGGAAGTGGATGTACATTTCAGTCAGAGTTTGAGGGATTTTTGCTCTGTCATCTTCATTCAGGAGCTTCTGAAGCACAGTGGCTGAGATCCAGCAGAAGACGGGTATGTGACACATGATGTGGAGGCTTCTGGATCTTCTGATGTGGGAGATGATTCTTCTGGCTTGACCCACATCACTGATTCTCTTCCTGAAATATTCCTCCTTCTGAGAATCATTGAATCCCTGAATTTCTGTCAGACGGCTGATGTATATTGAGGGGATCTGATTGGCTGCTGCTGGCCTGGAGGTGATCCAGATATGAGCAGAGGGAAGCAGATCTCCTCTGATGAGGTTTGACATCAACACAGCTACTGATGAAGACTCATTCACATCACTAACTCTCTCAATGTCTGAAAACTTCAGTGTGATTCTGCTTTCATCCAGACCATCAAAGATGAACACGACTTTACACTCCTCATACATCTCTGAGTCCAGATCTTGAAGTTCAGGATGAAAGTCCAGCAGAAGTGTGTGAAGACTGTACTGATGATCTTTAATCAAGTTCAGCTCTCGAAATGGAAGCACAAACATGAAATCTACATCCTGACTGGCTTTTCCTTCACTCCAGTCTAGAATAAACTTCTGCACAGAGACGGTTTTTCCAATTCCAGCGATGCCTTTAGTGAGAACAGTCTTGATTTGGTCTTTCTCCTCATGTTCTGGTTCTTGTAAGGGTTTAAAGATGTCACTGCAGTAGATTGGAGTGTCTTGTGTTCTGGCTGTTCTCTCCATCTGTAAAACCTCATGTTCTTCATTCACTCCTTCACTCTCTCCCTCTATGATGTAGAGCTGTGTGTAGATGCTGTTCAGGAGGGTTTGGTTCTCTTCTAGTTTGTTTCCCTCAAATAAATTCTCACATTTCTTTTTCATGCTCGTTTTGTGTTTATCTTTGACTCTCTGACTGATGAGGGTCTGACGGTCAGAATCAGTGCAGGTCAAGGGATGAGTTACTAACACATCATCTCTCTTCACTCTGTAAAAACAGTAAGTTAAAAAATGAGATGATTCTTAAAAAAAAAAAAAAAAAAAAAAAAAGCAACCCCTATTTTTAACTAATTTAAAATGACTGTTTCCTTATGAATGAAAATCCATTAAACAAAACAGCTTGAATCATTCAAACATCTGAGATTCATCTTTATTCTACAAATATCTGCAGCTGTGTTCATGTTATCTGTGTGTTTATTCTGTATGTCCTGGTAGTGGATCTTCGAATTTTGATATAACTAATGTTATTTAGGGGCGACGCAGCAGCGCTGTAGGTAGTGCTGTCGCCTCACAGCAAGAAGGTCACTGGTTCGAGCCTCAGCTGGGTCAGTTGGCACTTCTGTGTGGAGTTTGCATGTTCTCCCTGCGTTCGCGTAGGTTTCCTCCGGGTGCTCCGGTTGTCATGGTTCTGTCTTATGTTTATTTCATTCTTACTTTCTTACACTCTTGTTTGTTTTCTCTTTGTGAGTGCATTGGTTTGAGTTAGCTTAAACAATGAATTCTTTTCTGTGTTGTAAGCGCACAGCGTCAAGTCATCTTGAGCTGTGTACTTATGTCTGTAATTTGTTTTGTGTTCAGCACATGGGTTGTGTTTGGTTTTCCCCCATGTGCTCATTTGTCTATTAATTAGACCCCGCCTGTCTTGTTACCTGTTCATTTTGTTAATTTGTTTCACCTGGGCTCCTAGTTTGAGACTTTGTTTGCTCCCCTATTTATTCTCCCAGTTTGCTGTTGTCTGGGCTGATTCGTTTCTCATGCTACATGTAGTTAGATGCTTGTCTGTTTTTCTGTCCACTTTGGTTTTATTTTGTTTTACTTAAAATGACTATTTACCCTACCATGGGCTTGTTGTTTTTTCCAGCCCTTTTGGCTGTTATCTGGGCTCTGTATCCAGTTTTTTGTTCCTAATTAATAAACTTTATTTTGTATTGCTGATCTGCGTCTGGGTTCTGTTCACACACCTGACAGAACGAATCAGCCAAGTGAACCCAGCAGACAGCAACCTAAGATGGCGGCTTCTCTTCAACCAGCTCCACAAGTGACTGTTCCACTGGGCAAGGCACAGCCAATTAAACGGCTCTTCCCTGTGCAGGGGGTGCTTCCCATCAGAACTTATGCCCAGATCTTTCGTGAAGAGGCATCTAGGCTGTGCATTGCTGAAGCTCACATTAAATATTTTTTTTAGTGGAGGGCTTAACATCCCTATTTCCTCTGCAGAGTTGGGATGTCTTCTCCACTGGTCTTTTGAGGAGTTGGTGGAGCATGTGTGTAGGCTTGAGGAGATGAGGGTGCTGCTGAGTAATTTCAACACTCCGGTTTTTACTGTCTCTGTTCCAGCATCTTCTCCAGCTCCCATTTCCAGTTTCCCGGCAACAGCTCAAACCTCTGTTTTTACACCCAAGCGAAGGAGGAGGAGGGACTCTGTCGTTTGCTGGAATTCAGTGATTCATTCGAAGGCTGTCCCAGAGCTGCCCCCTCTCCCAGTTATGGCCACGAAAGCTGTCCCAGAGCTGCCCCCTCTCCCAGGTATGGCCACGAAAGCTGTCCCAGAGCCGCCCGCTCTTCCAGTTATGGCCACGAAAGCTGTCCCAGAGCTGCCCGCTCTCCCAGTTATGACCACGAAAGCTGTCCCAGAGCCGCCCGCTCTCCCAGTTATGGCCACGAAAGCTGTCCCAGAGCCGCCCGCTCTCCCAGTTATGGCCACGAAAGCTGTCCCAGAGCCGCCCGCTCTCCCAGTTATGACCACAGAGGCTGTCCCAGAGCCGCCCGCTCTCCCAGTTATGACCACAGAGGCTGTTCCAGAGCTGGCCGCTCTTTCAGTAACTGACAAGGTGATCATCCTGGAGTCACTTACTCACTCTGCCATGCCCACTGAGGGCTATTCAGTGCCAACCATTTCTCCGGTCATAGAAACCATCTCAGAGACTGTCATGTTTTTGATGGCTTTATTCTGTGTCTGGGCCGCACACGCATCCTCTCCAGAGTCCTTCGAGTCATCAACTGAGTCTTCTGAATGCTCTCTGGAGTCCTCTCCACCCAAATTTCCTGCTCCACCCAGGCTGCCTGGCGGTGCTATTGAGGTTTTCAACTCCCCTAAGCTCCCCTGTTGCCAAACTCTGGCCCTGCCCTGGCCGTCTGCCAGGGTTTCCGTTTTACCTGAGCCCTTCTGGACCCTCTCTCCGGCCCCACCCTGGTCACCTGTTGGGGTTCCTGACTCACCGGAGCTCTCCTGGTCCCTCCCTCCGGCCCCACCCTGGTCGCCTGTTGGGGTTCCTGACTCACCGGAGCTCTCCTGGTCCCTCCCTCCGGCCCTACCCTGGCCGCCAACTGGGGTTCCTGACTCACCGGAGCCCTTTTGGTCCCTCCCTCCGGCCCCACCCTGGCCGCCTACTGGGGTTCCTGACTCACCGGAGCTCTTTTGGTCCCTCCCTCCGGCCCCACCCTGGCCTTCTGCTGGGGTTCCAGACTTGCGAGAACCTATCTGGTCCCTCCCTTCAGCCCCGCCCTGGTCATCTGCTGGGGTTTCCTACTCATCGAAGCCCACCTGGTCCCTTCCTCTAGCCCCACCCTGGGTGTCTGCCTGGGTTTTCCTCTCATCGGAGCTCCCCTGGTACCTCCCCGGTTGTCTGCCTGGGCTCCTGACCACTGGTTTACCCCTCTTGTCCCCGAGCCCCCTGATCCACCCTGGTTTCACCCTCCCATCCCTCCATGGACCTTAATATTTGTTTTTTTTTATTGTTGTTGACTTGACTCCCTCCCTCCTTGTTTTGTTAATTTAAGTCTGTCTTGTGTTCTGTTGGTGTGTTCTAGTCTTGCCTTGTCTGTCTTGTGCTCATCTTCTCTTTGGTGTTCCTTTTTAAGGGACGCCAGGTGGCGTCCCTTTTGAGGGGGAGTAATGTCATGGTTCTGTCTTATGTTTATTTCATTCTTACTTTCTTACACTCTTGTTTGTTTTCTCTTTGTGAGTGCATTGGTTTGAGTTAGCTTAAACAATGTATTCTTTTCTGTGTTGCAAGCGCACAGCGTCAAGTCATCTTGAGCTGTGTACTTATGTCTGTAATTTGTTTTGTGTTCAGCACATGGGTTGTGTTTGGTTTTTCCCCATGTGCTCATTTGTCTATTTATTAGACCCCGCCTGTCTTGTTACCTGTTCATTTTGTTAATTTGTTTCACCTGGGCTCCTAGTTTGAGACTTTGTTTGCTCTTCTATTTATTCTCCCAGTTTGCTGTTGTCTGGGCTGATTCGTTTCTCATGCTACATGTAGTTAGATGCTTGTCTGTTTTTCTGTCCACTTTGGTTTTATTTTGTTTTACTTAAAATGACTATTTACCCTACCATGGGCTTGTTGTTTTTTCTAGCCCTTTTGGCTGTTATCTGGGCTCTGTATCCAGTTTTTTGTTCCTAATTAATAAACTTTATTTTGTATTGCTGATCTGCGTCTGGGTTCTGTTCACACACCGGTTTCCCCCACAGTCCAAAGACGTGCGGTACAGGTGAAATGGGTATGCTAAATTGTCTGTAGTGTATGAGTGTGAATGAGTTGCGGCTGGAAGGGCATCCGCTGTGTAAAATGTGCAGGATAAGTTGGTGGTTCATTCCGCTGTGGCAACCCCGGATTAATAAAGGGACTAAGCTGAAAATGAATACATAATGTTATTTAAAGTTAACTACGTGCTACAGTTAAATAAATGATAATCTCTGAGAGAAGATCAGAAAATAGGTAGTTAGAGCAGTTAGAATATAATAAAGCACATGGTATAGTGCATCTGAAAATTATTCAAAGTGCTCCAGTTTTTCTGTATTTTGTTGTAGCCTAATTTGAAAGAGGATTAAATTCATTATTTTCTTAAGCCTTTTCACATTTCCGGATCTCTCAGTAGCAGAAGTTGTCATATTTGGGTAAACTTAGAGCGCAGTGAATGGGAGAGTACAACAAATAATGTCTTTACAATCATATTTACTGAAATAATAAAAGAAAAACTCCATTATGGTGTTATCAAGACTTTCAGAAAAAGGACAAAAATAGAGTGAGACTGATAACGGCAGTCAAAGGAGAGAATAACATCAAATTTACTCTTTTGCCCCAAAGACGCTGGATTATAAACACCTCGCATAAGGGGTAATTCATTTTTTGTAATTTGATGCAAAGATGATTAAATGCATTCATAAACACATATAAATATTGTTTTTTAAAAACTAAAATATGAAAAACTTTTAAGGATTTAAGATAGTGATGACCTTTAAACATGTCAAAACAGTCTTGTGAACAGGGTCCAATATACTGTAAGTATTCACAGCTTTTCCATGTCATACAATACTGAATTAAGGTGCATCCTGACAGGCCTGGATTGGTTAATCGTGAGGGCTGGGAGAATTCCCGGTGGCCGGTCCTTTTTTTGGGCCGCAAAAGCCGGTGTCTCTAGCTACTTGCACTCTGAGCAGTCACACTTTGTTTTGTATTTATTTATTTGACCATAGCCTCACTCTTTAAATTCCTTATTTTACCGCAGCTCCACTCTTTTAAAATGTTTTTTCACAGCCCCATGAGAAAAATGCAGCCTGCAGGTTGATGATTAAGTAATTTTCATTCGACCCCAACTGCAGCACCTTGCTCATCAGCAAAATCACTTGTTAAGAGATACGCAAGAGATGAAAAATTAATAACAAAAAACGCGAAGGTGGCGCTGAAAAGGTCAGATTTTTAAAAAAGCAGAGTATATTTTTTGTTTAAACTAGCGGCAGAGAGAGTGAATAATTGAATAATTATAATATTAATATTAATGAATATTAGACCTGCTGAATAAAAAATTATTCATTCACTGCATTAATAAATCTGACTTAACTTGAAAGCTAAAAAGGGGGGAAAAAGATGCAGCCATCATTAGAGAGTAATACTGTGGTTAAAATGTCTGGCAGATAACTTTATTATTTATTGTTTGTGTTTAAGGACTGGATATCTGTGAAAAAAAATGCACAGACTATTCAGAT